GAGAAATACCCACTTTACAACATCCTTTATAAATGGCAAATAAAAAACAGCTAAAGTAGGTCTAGACCATTGGTCCTCAAATAGCAGAGTGCTCCCAGGGACCTTTAGCAATGTCTAGAGACACTTTTTATTGTCATGAGTGGAAAGGTGCGACTTCATCTAGTGGGCAGAGAACAGGGATGCTGCCGCACATCTTATAATGCACAGGACAGCAACCACAACAAAGAATTATCCGGATCAAAAAAAAAATAGTGAAGAGTGCTGAGATTAGAAGACTCTTATCCAGAAGAAGGGATAGAAAAACCTAACTTGGTCCTGCCCCAGTTCTGCTGTTTAGGAGCTGTGTCCCCGAACAAATCGCTAAGCCTGGCTCCTCTGTAAAAGTTATGGATTCATTCATCTGTTGATTGACTGATTGACTGATTCATTCATTCATTCTTTCATTCACTTAACAGATATTTTCCAGGAAATGGAGATAAACAGCAAAGAACAAGACCTGGTCTGACCCCAGAGAGTGGTGAAAGTTAAATAAGAAAATGAGTATAAAAAAGGTCCTTATAATTTTGAGGTACACAACAGACCCAAGGCAGAAGCACTGATTTGTAAATAACACGAGGTGATGCATAGAAGTGCTCACTTTCTAGTTATTTATTGTCTTTCATCTACTCTGAGAGGTACAGACTTTTTCATATTTTAACATCTCTGTGTACATTAAAATGAAGTGCTTCACAATCACCGCCAGCCAGGTGGCAGTCACACCCCCAGGAGTCACTGTAGTCAGGTGGTGATTACCTGAGTGCAAACTTGGTCAGTGGCATGAACTCCTGGTGGCACAAAGACTGAGACAGAATAGGGAATTAGAGTAACCAAGGGTTATGGCATTGGCTCAGCAACATGGACTTCCACTCACCAAGGCTGACCTGGCTATGGACACGGCTGAGTGCCCCATTTGCCAGCAGCAGAGACCAACACTGAGCCCTTGATATGGCACCAGTCCTTGGTTCTAGGCAAGATCAGACAGCATACAGGCCACATTCTCATGCCTGTGACAACAAGACAGAAGTTTCTACTTCAGTTTCTAATTGGCTATAGGCGGAGTCTCCACTTCAGCCCCTGATTGGTCATGGGCCAAGTCTCCACTTCAGCCTCTGATTGGTGGTAAGCCAGTTCTTCACAAGGTGCAACCAATCGGAGGCCTCCAAAGGGCACCTAGGGATGTTACCAAAATCTTCTAGCTTAATTAAAAAACATTGTAACTGGGACTCTTTAGCCTCTTGCCCAAGCATGCTTCCACTCCATAGAGTGTACTTTCACTTAAATAAATCTGTGCTTTTATCGCTTTTGGCATTGCTTCATTCTTTTGTTGCTTTGTGTATTTTGTATTGCTCTGTTTGTGCACTTTGCTCAGTTCTTTGTTGAACATGCCAAGAACCTGGACAACTCACAGTCAAGACTTTCCACCTGGTGGAAACCTCTCAGTGTTCAGTCAAGAAGCCATCGGAGGATCACTCAGGAAAGGATCAAGAGTCCTGATGTTGCCTGAAGCGCTCCATGGATATCTTACGGTAGGAGCAAGAATGCACTGAAATTGGTTTAGATGCTTGCAGGTGGCTCACACTGTTACAGAATGTCTTTCCCGTTGGCGCAGTGGCTCATACCTGTAATCCCAGCACTTTGGGAGGCCGAGGCAGGCAGATCACGAGGTGAGAAGTTCGAGACCAGCCTGACCAACATGGTGAAACCCCATCTGTACCAAAAATACAAAAATTATCCAGGTGTGGTGGCGCACGCCTGTAATCCCAGCTACTCAGGAGGCTGAGGCAGGAGAATTGCTTGAACCTGGGTGTCAGAGGTTGCAGTGAGCTGAGATTGGGCCACTGCACTCCAGCCTGGGCGACAAGAGCGAAACTCCGTCTCATCCAAAAAAAAAAAAAAAAAACAATGTCTTTCACCAGCTGGAGCCCAAATCCACCTGGTTTCACCCCTTGGAGACACACAGGTAGACATAACTCTGGCCTCAGCTAAGCCAGAGGTTCTCAACCCAGGCTGCACACTAAAATAAATTAGCAAGTTTTTACATCACATGTTGTCACTTATTGGTGGTTGTAGGATCTAAAAATCAAAACAATTGCACTCATGTACACAGAGAGTAGAAGTATGGTTACCGCTGGCTGGAAAGGGCACTGGGGGCCTGAGAGGGAGGTGGGGTTGGCTAATGGACACACAAAAAGTAGTTACAAAGAACGAATAAGCCCTATTATTTGATAGCACAACAGGTGACTATAATCAATAATAACTTAATTGTACATGTAAAAATAACTAAAAGAGTGTGATTGGATTGTTTGTAACACACAGAATAAATGCTTGAGGGAACGGGTACCCCACTCTCCATGATGTGCTTATTTCACATTGCATGTCTGTATCAAAACATCTCATGAACCGCATAATATATACACCTACTATGTACCCACAAAAAGTTAAAACAAAAAAATGTTTTAAAATTTTTTAATAAAATTAAATTTAAATAAAATAAATTAGTGAGTTTTAAAAAATACTAACACCTGAGCTTCACGCCAAATCAAATAAGAAGCTCTGGGGTGGGCTCAAGCATCTGTATTATTTTAATGTCCCACTCCAGAAATTCCGATTGAACAGTCCAGAGTGCAGCCTGGGCCTTGGGCTTTTTCAGTATCCTTCCGGAGATTCTATGGTGCAGCCAGAGTGAGACTTGCTGAGGAAAGCCTCCCCTGACCACCCTACGGGACCACTGCTTCCTCCTCCACCTCCTAACATAGAGGGTCTCCACTGTGGCTGCTCACGGGACCCATATGAAGAACACTGACAAAGCCCAATGCCCAGGCAGTACCCTAGACTACTCAATCACAATTTCTGAGCTCAGACCAGGAATCCGTCACTGTCACAGTTCCCAGAGTGAAGGCAATGCACAGCCAAACTGGAACCACTGCCCTAAGTCCTGCAGTACTTGATGGAAAACGCCTGCCTTCTGGAAGAGGGTCAATCTGCATTGCCTGGAACTGCATCTGTTTAAAACAGGATACGTAATTGTGAACCAGCCTAACAGTCTACTGTATCTACAAGCCGTGAAACCCTCCCTCCCCGTGTAATACTCTACACATCACGGGCACTCAGAGAAGAATGAACGGCTGAACAAATACACGGAAGGGTACATACTTATTTTGTCAGGAACTTTCTAGTCACATGAGTGCCACAACTAAGGTGCCAGTTTCAAAGACAAGGCAGAGATTCTGCAGTTTAAAGATCATGACAACGTAACAGGTTACAGACCAGGTGGAGGTCCGGACCTCGAAAGCCACAGGTAGAAACAAAAACAGGATGTTTTACAAAGGCAGAAATGTTCAATTCCAAGGTAGGGCCACAGCTCACAGCTGTCAGCTTTTTCTGTTTCAGTGCATTCAAGAGCGAAACTGTGGTGCCAACAATTCACTACAATTCCAATAGCTTTATCACATAGACATGACGTTAAAAAGCAACGCACTGTCCTTGTAGACAATGAAGGGTATAGTAGAGGAAGCTGAGTTCTTCAGAATTTGTTTATCAACCAAGGGCCATTGTGAGTCACTTTCAAATACTATTTATTCTATTTATTCTCCAGAGCTGTTTTTTTTCTAGGCCTAGACTCCCACGCAAATTCAATAATATTAATGTAATCTTTATTTTAATATAGTGCTCAGGGAGTCCCATATCTGATTCAAAAGTAGCTTGAGGCATGACCAAGGTCGTTAATTTCTTTTAAAGCTACATTTGATGAGAGCAGAACCAGAGAAAACATGCATGTACCTGGCGCGTTACTGCGTGTCAAGGCCCATGGCCTGCTCCACGGCTCGAGTGTCCTCTGCCGGCGGTTTGGGCAGATCCGACATGGTGGACGAGGCATCCCTGGGATTCCCAGTAACCAACATCCAGTGGTTACTTGGTTTTTCAACTCTGTGTGAATCCAGGTACGTGTGAGCTACAACCTCAGCCTCCTTTCCAAAATAGGTGCTGGAGCAAGAGAGAATCAGTTGTGGTTTGAAATTGAGTGACCACACTCAGTAAGCTGTTATTAATAATTTCATCTCAAAAGCACCTTAAGAAGTAGATTGCTAGATAAAGCCCTAGGGGATCTCTAAAACAGAGCATGTTTGCAGGGAGGTTGCACCCTATTTGGGCAAGGATTGGGCCAGCAGGATCCCCTTATTGCTAAAGTCCTCTTGTACGGGAAGGACTTGTATAAAAGAAGGGGCTTGGCTGGGCACGGTGGCTCACACCTGTAATCCCAGCACTTTGGGAGGCCAAGGCAGGAGGATCACCTGAGGTCAGGAGGAGTTTGAGATCAGCCTGGCCAGCATGGTGAAAACTCATCTCTACTGAAAATACAGAAATTAACTGGGTGTAGTAGCAGGCGCCTGCAACCCCAGGTACTCAGGAGGCTGAAGCAGGAGAATCGCTTGAATCTGGCTGCAAAAGTTGCAGTGAGCTGAGATTGTGCCCCTGCACTTCAGCGTGGGTGACAGAGTGAGACTCCATCTCAAAAAAAGAAAAAAAGAAGGGACTCTAATAGGACTTTTCACCCTGTCAAAGATCTATGTGGCAGTCAGCAAAGGACGTTTTTTGCATGTGCAGCCATACACTGTCAATTGAGCTTCTTTGCTTATATTCATAGGCCCCAGCCCCAGTCACAGCGTTCTGTGGTACACTGAAATACAATACCTTAAGAAAAGATGCCGGTGGGCTGCCAGTCCCCGATTTGTGTGACAGTGATGGATGAGAATTTTAGCATTGGCCTATAACAGATAAAGACAATGTGTTACCGGCATTCTAAATAAAGGCCTCTACTTTCCTAAAAGCAAAAATTTGGAATCATACATGTACTTCAATTTAGTAGAACAACATTATACATATTCACAGTCACATGCCACCACATTTCAGTGAGCAAAGGGCCGCCTATGCAACCACATACATGACCATAAGACCCTGTTTTTACTGTCCCTTTTCTGTGTTTGGATGCACAAACACTTAGCAATGTGTTACAGTTACCTGTAGCATTCAGTAGAGTAGCACGGTGCACAGGTTTGCAGTGCAGGAACACTAGTGGCCTAGGTGTGTCATAGGCTACGCCATCTACGTTTGTGTAAGTACATTTATGATGTGTAAGTCAAGTAAAATTGTTGAGGCAAGTCTCAATCATTGTGAGAGGTTTATTTGCCGAGGTCAAGGACGCACCTAGCAAAAAGAACACACACCAACAGGAAAAACCTTTGGTCCATGCTTTTTCCTGAAGAGGGCCTGGGGACCTGAATATTTAAAGGGAAAAGAGTGGGTACTGGGGGAACGAGGAAGAAAGAAAAAACAATAATGACAAAAAAAAAAAAGGAGGGTAAATAAAGGAGGCAAGCAGTTGCGTTCTTTTGAGTTTTCTGTCAGTGTTCACCAAACGCACATTTTACATGAGAGGGCCGTGGAGGAACAGTCACTTACTCATTCATCTTGTGCGCAGTGAACCTGCCTTTTCACATAAGATGAAATAAACATGGGGCGGAGGGAACGTTCATATATGCCTTTGTCTTGAGTGAGCAGAAGGATGGCTTTTTAGTTCTGTCCTTTGTCCCCTACTGTGAAGAAAAGCTATCACTTTACATGGTCAGGGTGATAGTCCACATCACCGCTTTAGGGTAAAGATCTTGGGGCTCACAAGGAATTTCCTCGTGGGAAAATTGTGACGGATATATGTAGCTTTAAAAAAATCTTTGTAGCTGTCCTACTTAAGAGCAAAATGGGAGGCCGCTTTGCGAGACCCCATTCCCAGCCTGACTTTTTCTTTGACGGAGTGAGTCTAGGTCCCAAGATTGATTTTCCTTTCACAATGTCCACACAATGACAAAATCACTGCCAGGGTGACCACGACCGTCTAATGCATTTCTCAGAATGTATCCCCATCGCTGAATGACACATGACTGTAGATATATTTATATACACACAGGCACAGAAAAATCTAGAAGCCAAACCATAATGAATGAATTAAATATATTATTGTAGATAACTGTATAATGAAATAATCACTCAACGTTATATTGGAGAAGATCTTTGACACACAAGATGGAGTCAATGGTGTCATTCAACAGAAAAAAAAGAAGTATCTTCATGATGTCCTATCTTGTAAAAAGAAATGAGCAATGGCTTCTCTGGAAAATGGAACTACTGGTAATTTTCATATTATTTTTGTGCTTTCCTGACTTTTCATAAGTGAACATATGATTATAATCAGGAAAAATATATATTATTTCAAAATCCTGACTCATGTACATTAAAAGCTGTGTAAGAAAGAAAAAGCAGCCCTGCCAGCCAGGGGGTGGCCTGGCACACACAAGGAGGCCTCAGTGTTCTCCTGGGAGCAGAATCAGCTTCACAGAATGTCCACATCAGACAAGGCCACTCTGTGATCATGAGGGGTCAAAACAAAAATAAGATCACTCTATAATCATATCTGAACACACACAAAACACAAACATTGACTAAGCCACAAAATAGCAAACACCCGCCTCTCCCAGCTAATATGAGTGACTGCTGCTCCTTTACTAACCACAGTTTTATCTTCACTCCAGTCTGGTCCTCCCTAGAGATAAGATTTATTGAGATAACCGATCAGAGAATTACCCTCCACTTCCTGACAGCATCCAATCCAGAGCAAAGCCTCACTTCCTGGGATTCTCTCCGACACCGGCCAACCAAGGCCCAAATTCTGTAAGCATCCTAACACCCTCTTACACGCTTCCTCACGGTGTGTGTTCTCCCTCACTGCAACAAGTAATCTACCCAGCCTGTTAAAGCACAGTTGCTCCTGGAGGTCTCTCTAGCCAGAGGTCATTGACATGTGCAAGGGAGATCAGATCGGTTTGGGGTTGCCCATTTGCAGATGTGTAACCATGCCTCAGTGAGGCTCAGGGAGACTTTCCTCAAGCCATAAGGTGAATTAGTAATGGAGAAAAGAACTCAGCTGGGCACGGTGGCTCAAGCCTGTAATCCCAGCACTTTGGGAGGCCAAGGCAGGTGGATCACGAGGTCAAGAGATCCAGACCATCCTGGCCAAAATGGTGAAATCCTGTCTCTACTAAAAATACAAAAATTAGGCTGGGTACAGTGGCTCACGCCTGTAATCCCAGCACTTTGGGAGGCTGAGGCGGGTGCATCACGAGGTCAAAAGATTGAGACCATCCTGGTCAACATGGTGAAACCCCGTCTCTACTAAAAATACAACAATTAGCTGGGCATGGTGGCGCACGCCTGTAGACCCAGCTACTCGGGAGGCTGAGGTGGGAGAATTGCCTGAACCCAGGAGGTGGAGGTTGCGGTGAGCTGAGATCGTGCCACTGCACTCTAGCCTGGGCAACAAGAGTGAAACTTCATCTCAAAAAA